GTTTAGGGTTTAGGGCTTAGGGCTTAGGGCTTAGGCTTTAGGGGCGGCATGTTTGAATCAATCCGTCCAAACGAGAGATGGTGCACCCGAAAATCCTAATAAGCCTCCAAGGCTCCTTAGGTCTAGAAGGGTAGTTTAGGGTTTAGGGTTTAAGGTTTAGGGTTTAGGGTTTGGGAAGCTACATGGTTCCCTGAATATGGTCCCTTACCTCCCTGAAAGGGTTCGGATGTAACAGCCCTTGGGTTGCTTCGGTTTTTGTTTAGGTTTGTGAGGGGTATATAGTATATAAGGGTTCCACGTTTAAGGGCCCGTACTAAGGGCACCATGCAACTACCCTAAGAGAGAATCAGCGAGACCAATGCTAGCCAACAGTGGCTGGAGGTCAACATTGGGCTCTTGTCGAGGAACTTACATGAATCAGAAAGGTTTCTGAGCAAGACCCGGTTTAGGGTTTAGGGTTTAGGGTTTAGGGTTTAGGGTTTAGGGTTTAGGGTTTAGGGTTTAGGGTTTAGGGTTTAGGGTTTAGGGTTTAGGGTTCAGGGTTCAGGGTTTGGGAAATTGTGGCCAGGAGGACTCCAAAGACCATCCCGAAGACAAGACTGAAGATGTGCGGGGGGGGTTTGAGGTTGAGCGGTTTGTGTTCGTTTGGGGGTTCAGGCTTTATCCCTTTAGGGTTTAGGGTTTAGGGTTTAGGGTTTAGGGTTTAGGGTTTAGGGTCCATACATATCCATACTATAAACCTTCTGGTGAAAAACTTGCCGTGGCGTCGACAATGCACACACACACCCTCTTTTCGGCTGCGGGAAAACGGCGAGCAGGAGCATTGCCCAAGCGCAGTTCGGCAATTGTGAGTTTGTCCGGCTTTGTGCAAGACACTCTAAAACAAGCTGCTTCTCTTGAGCACATGCAACATTTGGTCTCGTCTTGTACAAGACACAGCTCCTACAGTAGCTTCAAACCAGCAAACTCTCATTGTCTGAGAAGAAGATTTTGCAGCATTATGCAACATCTCTGTGCGGCGGGATCCCGCAGTCCAGGCAAAGCGTTTGTTGTCACGCTGTCAACCCTGAACCCTAAACCCTCAACCTTATAAACCCTAAACCCGAAACCCGAAACCCTAAATCCCGAGCCTCTGAGGCTCCTAAAGCTTAAAAGCAGTCCCGAGCTCCATCGCGCGGCTGGTCAGCAGGGTTGGCCCAAGCTTCACACTCCTCGGCGAGTTAGGGCCATGGCTTCAGAGTTTAGGGTTTAGGGTAAACCCTAAACCCTAAACCCTAAACCCTAAACCCTAAACCCTAAACCCTAAACCCTAAACCCTAAACCCTAAACCCTAAACCCTAAACCCTAAACCCTAAACCCTAAACCCTAGCCGGTTAAGGGTTTAGGGTCCTCACAGAGGCACTGCTTTCATCAGCCGAAAGCCCTTAGAGAATGCCCCCAGAATTGGGGAAAGAGGTGAGAGATGAGAAAAAAACCCTAAACCCTAAGCCCTAAACCCTAAACCCTTAACCCTAAACCCATGTGGGGTGCGCATGGCCCGTCCTAACACATGTCCTTTCTTCCGACTCTCGTTCAGAAGCTTGTGTAGGGCCAATCCAAACGCTTTTGGGGTTGAAGGGCTTGGCTTGCGCGAGCTTTGGGCTTAGATGCCTCCACGTTGCTTCCGGTATGCGCAACCCGAAACCCTAAACCCTAAACCCTAAACCCTAAACCCTAAACCCTACCCTACACCCTACACCCCTTTTCGTAAGATGCCCGGCCAGGCTTCTTGGGCTGAGGAAGTTCCAGCTTGAGCTGCCACCCTAATCAGAATGATCCCCCCCTCACCCACATTTGGGGGTTTAGGGTTTATGCAGGGTTTAGGGTCCCTAAACCCTAAACCCTAAAACCTAAACCCCCTAAACCCTAAACCCTAAAACCTAAACCCTATATAAACCCCAGCAGAGGATTATGGGGGGTTTAGGGATTAGGGTTTAGGGTTGAGGGTTTAGGGACCCTAAACCCTAAACCCTAAACCCTAAACCCTAAACCCTCAACCCTCAACCCTCAACCCTAAACCCTAAACCCTAAACCCTAACCCTAAACCCTAACCCCCCAAATCCCCAACCTGAGGGCCCACAACAGCCTTCTGGATGCCAAGACTCGCTCCGAGCTCGGTGATTCCTTAAGGGTGTGGAGTGTTTAAGGTTTAGGGTTTAGGGTTTAGGGTTCAGGGTTCAGGGTTTAGGGTTTAGGGTTTAGGAATCAGGGTAGGGTTTGGGGCTGAGCTCCTTCTGGCTTTGGGGGTCCTCACAGTGTTGACGGTGTGCGACGGTCAGGGAAGCTCATGGGTATGCAGGGCTGGAACTGCATCTGCCAAAAGGAGCCAGGTTCCTTTTTACGGACAACGCTTGGAAAAGATCCTTACCCCCCCCCCCCCCCCCCCCGCGCGCCGGCCCAAACAGAGCCTAGCACCCCCCCCCCCCCCGGACCAAACAAAAAACATGAAACAAGTATTATATGTATATATATATATAATATATACATATATATATATACTATATATACATATACATAGTATATATATATATACGAATATATATTATATATATATATATATACATTTCGATATTTACATATACATACCACAACACCCCCCCCCCCCCAACTCTATGGGAAAATACCTACATGCCCTGTAAACCCTGCATACTCTTGGGTTTCACTGTCTACTCCACGGAACTTGGGATGTTACCCTTTAGACTAACAGTCCTTAATAGGGGATTATAGTACCCCCCCCCCTATTCTAATTCGGGTTTAGGGTTTAGGGTTTAGGGTTTAGGGTTTTTTTTAGGGTTTAGGGTTTAGGGTTTAGGTTTTAGGGTTTAGGGTTAATCCCTATTGAGCACTGTTAGTATAAGGGGCAACATCCCACATGGAAACTCTGTACGAGGCTCCTCCGTGTCCTCAACCCCCAAAACAATCGAGGGTTTAGGGTTTAGGGTTGAGGGTTGGGGGTGCGGTGTCCAGCGGCGTTGCCGCAAAGTTTGCATTCCAGGGGCAGCTACTTTATTTGGGTCGTGGGTTCAGGGTTCAGGGTATTTAGCGGCTAAGGCTTACCCTTAGGCTCAAAATCCCAAAACCTTCTATAAAAAGGCCTTGGGCCCAACAAAACCCCCTTAAACAAGAGTTCTTGGAGCCTTTGGGGTTTAGGGTTTAGGGTTTTTTCGGGTTTTTAGGGTTTATAGGGTTTAGGGTTAAGGTTTGGGGGTTAGGGCGTCTCCGCGCAGTGGCCGACAATTCCACGTGGAAATAGCGGCGGCCCAACCCACCCAAGGATTTATGTGTCCGGGGGGGGGGGGGGGGCCTTATGGTGCGTGAGTTTAGGGTTTAGGGTTTGGGGTTTAGGGTTTAGGGGTTTAGGGTTTAGGGTTTGGGGTTTGGGGTTTGGGGTTTGGGGTGGGCTTTGGGGTTTGGGGTTTGGGGTTGGGTTGGGGTTTAGGGTTTGGGGTTTAGGGTTACCATAAACCCTAAACCAACCTAAACCCTAAACCCTAAACCCTAGACCCTAGACCCTAGACCCTAGACCCTAGACCCTAGACCCTAAACCCTAAACCCTAAACCCTAAACCCTAAACCCTAAACCCTAAACCCTAACCCTAAACCCTAAACCCTGAACCCTGAACGAAACAAAGCCCAAACGTCCCCAAAGCCTTAAACTTGAGGGTTTTGGGGGGGGGGCTGTTATAGTTTAATCGTTAAGGGACCCTAAGGGAATACTATTTGAAATTATTCAGTCCAGGTTCGGTCCAGATCCTGGTGGAGCTGGGCGAAATCCTCCCGAAATCGCGCTTCCGTCTGGTGCAGGGCCGCCTGCGCTGGCTCCCTAGGCTCTAGACCGTGAGAAGTACACTAAACCCCAAACCCTGAACCCTAAACCCTAGACCCTAAACCCTACTAAACGCTAGAGCCCTAAAGCCTTGAACCCTAACCGCCTAAAGCCTAATGTTAAGCGTTTATGGTCTTTTTCACCCTAACTCCGAAACCCTAAACCCGAAGCCCCAAACCGTATGCTTGGGGTTTTGAAAAGCTGCTGAGATGTGCTTCTACCCAGAGGAAGACGTAAACCGCCTGTGCGGTTTAGGGTTTAGAGCATTGGGGTTTGAGTTCACAAGTAGTTACAAGCAGAGTTGCATCTAAAGCGTGCATGATGACAAGCGCTGAGTGAAACATGCAGACCACCCGTGGGTCTTCAGCAGTGAGCTGCTCCAGCTTAAGGAGGTGGGAAACACCAGCCGCAATGTAGAGGCCAAGTGCACTGGAAAGTGGCATAAGGGGGTGCATCTGTTCTAGGGAACTTAAGGGCTCCGTTGTAGCATTGGGCAGGTTTGTTTGAGAAACGCAGCACACGTTTCCCCTCCCCCTCACACCCCCCTCAAAAAAAGGGGGGGGGGGGGGAAAGAGGCACAGTGGGAGACATAGTTTGGGATATTCCCCCCTTCTACTAACAGTCCTTGATCGGACTATAAATCCCCTATTGTGACCCTACGAAGGACTGTTAGTATAAGGGGAAACATCCCCACCTTACACCCTAAACCCTAAACCCTAAACCCTAAACACTCCAAACCCTTCGTATGTGTTTACCCGCGGTTATGAGAGGATCGTCCTGGGCATGTCTTGGATTTAAGGGTCTGAAAGTAAAAGGTTAAAGGCTCAGCTTTTGTGTCCGTACCCCAAGGCCACAACCTAGGGTTTTGGGTTCGGGGTTTAGGGTTTGGGGTTTGGAGTTTGGGGTTTGGGGTTTGGGGTCACTGGACCCAAAAGCCCCGGTAGGCCCCCCAAACCCGCCTGAACTGATCCGATGAGGAAGGAGTTGACCTTGCTGCACGTGATGCGGAATATGTTGTCGCCGAAAAGCGAATAAAACAACCCTGAAAAGACAGTTTAGGGTTTAGGTGTTAGGGTTTAGGGTTTAGATCTAGACGCAGCTTGGGGTAAGCAAATAAATTGCATTTTGATTGTTCA